CCCCCCCCCCCCCCGTTCGGAGGGCAACAAACAAGTTATCACCAAGACTCGAGCAAAAGAGCCACGACAAGAGTAGCAGCGGAAGAAGCAAGAAGAAAAACGGCATGGCTCGAGAACCCCCCCCGCGCAGCAGCCGACGTTTCTTCTTCTTCTTCTCCTTCTCCTGCCGCCGCAACCGCCCCGACGCTGACGGTGGTGGTGTTGCCCCCCCCCGATAGCGTCGGCGGCCCTATCGCGCCCGTCACCACCAGCGAGTAACTCTGGGTCTCGTTCCCAGCGAGCCGCTTCGACCAGACGCGCACAGTCCACGTCCCGTCACTTTCACCGTCCTCGGCTGTGGTTGCGTCCGAGGACGTCTGATCGAGGATGTTGCTCGCGGGCACGATCACGCGCTCGTTGTTGTTGAGCGAGTCCACCGTCCCGTCCCGCCACATGCTGTACCGGAGGCCCGTCGGGGAGTAGACCGAAAGGTCGAGGTCGTGCACGAGCTATGTACATAGTTTTGATGGAAGGCGGCACGGGGGGGGGGTTGTTTGGGTGGTTAGTGCACGGCGTGTGCGAGGTTGTGCGAGAGCTGGCGTCGACGAAAAGTAAAAGACGACGCGGAAGGGGATACGGGTGGAGATTCACTCCCTACGCCGACGTGTATAAAAAAACTACCGTACAACCTTGCTGCAACACCTAAGAAACCGTGGGTTGCACGCCAAACCCCATCGGCCCGACCGAGGGAGGGTGCCGATGCCGACGATCGATGCGGCTCAGGGACTCTTTACTCTCGACCTTTACCTTTTTTTTGAAAGGGTGTTGTTACCTTCCCTGTTGCAGGATCATCGAGCTTCGCACGCCACAGGTTCAGGGGTCAGCTTACTCCTCAACGTGAGACCTGAAGTAGTCCAACAACAGGCGGTCTTCCAACACTCGCTCAAACTCAGCGTGGGGAGCCGCACCACTAAACGCAACACACGCCTCCCTCCCCGCAACGCTCCGTCCTCTCAGGGACGCGTGGTTTAACAGCTATGACGTGCAAAACATGAGTACTTCCCCCCCCCCCCCC